TGAGAGGTGATCTTGTGGCCACCTACAAGTTCATCAGGGGAGGACAGCATGAAATAGGAGATGCTCTGTTCACCAGGGCACCCCTTGGAGTAACTAGGAACAATGGCTACAAACTGATGGAGAACAAATATAAGTTAGACATCAGAAAGAACTTCTTTATGGTAAGGGTTGTCAAAATCTGGAATGGGCCTCCAAGGGAGGTGGTGCTCTCCCCTTCCCTGGAGGTCTTTAGGAAGAGGCTAGACATGCACCTGGCTGGGGTTGTCTGACCCCAGCACTCTTTCCTGCCCAGGGCAGGGGGTCAGACTCGATGATCTGCTAAGGTCCCTTCGAACCCAAATATCTATGAATAACTCAAAAGACAGTCTTATTCTTGTGTATTGTGTAGAGGGGAGTAAGGAGGTATATGTGGGGGGTGGTTGGAGAGTGGGTGTGGGGGGTAGGTATCATAGGTGGGGGTTGGGAGGTTGTGAGAGTGAATATGGGTTTATGGTGGGGGGTGGGAGTGTGTGTGGCGGGTGTGGGTGTGTATTGTGGGTATGGTGGGAGGTGGGGTGTGGGGCTGTGGGTGTGTTGTGGGGGGTCCTCAGAGTCCCTGGAGTGTGCAAATCCCTGGATCTGCATGTGGTGGCAGGGTGCAGGGCCAATCCCATCCGGTCCCATAGCACATGGCTCCCCGCGCTCCCACCCCCTTTCCCCCAGTAGGAGTCCCTGGCCCTGGTCCAGAGGTGCACCCTGACTCAGGGCTGGGGATGGGTCAGGCTGGACTGGGGGGAGGTGGTTGCTGAGCAACCAGACCCACACCTCCTGCAGGGACCCCTGGCTTGCAGAAGGGCAGCCCAGGGCCAGGACTTACAGGGGGCTTATGGAGGGGCCCTGCAGGCCAGGTGAAATTGCCTGGTGGGCCAGATTCAGCCTCTGGACCATATTTTCCCTGTCCCTGATGTAGACCTGTGTCTTTAAAAAAACAACAACAATAGTTTAGACTAGTTTAATACACCTCTACGTGTCTAGGATACGTGAGTTTATGATAGAGCCTTCTAAGTGTAGTTTTTTTTCATAGTTCAGCTACATTAAAATGTAACATGAAAATCTAAAACAAAAGCTGTGAATAACAATAATATATATAAATGGCTGTATAACTACTGTTAGGATTAAATCTCTGCAGGATTGCTAAAAGGCAAGGATTTCTTATGGTAATATCTTTTTATTGAACTAACTGTAGTTGGGATAAAGTTAGACAAGCTTTTAAATGCAAGAAATTCTTCCTTAGGTCTCTGATCACAGGGAGCCAGGCACGGTATGATCCGGATTGCTGGACTGATGAGTAAGGAAGGATGTTGCACTATTGTTTACAGTTAAGCATTTCTCTTTGCTTGCCACTATGATGAGCCAGATGTAACAATTGTATCAATATGAAATTATATGGATATCTTCTGGTATGATGTAACTATTACATCTTCAGGCTTTTGTAACAATAAAAGTGTAGCAAAACTGTTGCAATGTTAACCTGGTTTTATTCCTGGTTGAAGTTACTGCAGTTTACCTAAACCTGTTTTGCTACAGGAAAATTGTGACAGCCTATGTATTCCAGTGTAGCTGTCCTTTCCTTGCTCTATTTTAAAACAGTTAAAAGTTTTGCTTGTTTGTTGCCTAAGATACACTTTGAAATTCAGGTTGGTGGGAATTTCCCAACAATATATGCAAGTGCCAGCATAATAAAATGTTGATTTACATTAGACTGGGTCTAGTGTCTCAGAGTTACTGAACAACAAAAACCCAGTAAAAGTTGTATCGTCATCCTGGTCTGCTAACAATCCATTAAAAACCTCTCCTCCATGGGCCTGCAACCATACTTGATCTCCCACTTGCAGTTCCAGGATAGCACCTCCTGAAGCCTGATCCTCAGCACCCTGATATTTGTCCACCGTGTGCAGCATCTTGATCCCATTTTTAACTAGAGCTACTCTTACATTCCTTGAGTAAACAGTAATGTGGTAGGTAAAATAATAAACCCCAGAAACATTGCAGGTGAATTTTCCAGTAGCAGGATCATAATGGTTTAGACCATTATACAACACTTTATCAAACTTGATTGGACGATTGACTGGAGGAAACTTAGTTTCAGCTGTAAGGCCTACACTGAAAGCACTTCTTGGTACCACTGGGGTGTCACCTGTGTTTCCTTTATCTCCTCTATCACCTTTCCAGCCCTTTTCCCCCTGAACTCCTGGATTCCCCTTTGGTCCTGGACCTCCAACAGTTCCTTCAGGACCTGGATTACCAATAGGACCAACAGGGCCTGGCAGACCAATTTCACCTGGATTCCCAATTTCACCCTTCATCCCTTTTGAACCCATGGGACCAATTTCACCTTTTATCCCCTTTTGTCCCTGCAGCCCTATTTCTCCTTTTTGACCTTTGTCACCCACAGGTCCTACAATTCCCTTTGGTCCCAGTTTTCCAGGTCTTCCTCTCTCTCCTTTATCTCCTTTGTTCCCCTTCTCTTCAACTCTGCCATCAGTTCCTAAATGAAAAAAAGAATGACATATACTTATCACTTTATATTAGACTACTGAAGCACAAACAAATTAATTTTCAGTACATAATATGACAGATACATTTACTAAGGGCATATCTCTGCACACTACAGAGTTGTGATAGGGGAGGGAGGGAGGAAGAAAGTCAGATATATAAATGCAGGATAAAAAGTATTGAGAAGAAACCCATCCCTGCAATTGCTACAGTGCAGTTGCAGGCATAAAGCCAAAGATGGCAGTGCTTCATCTATAGCATACTGAGGGTTGCACTGAAAACCTGCCATATCAATTATAAATTTCTCTGGAAAACTTTGTTATTTTAAGAAATTGTTCCTTATTTAGCTGGATGACTCTGGGCATGTCCAGATGAGCATGCATGTGTGGTTTGTGACATCTCAAGCCTATTTGATGTGCTGCAAACTGTACAGGGCACATATGCAACTGTGTAGTTGTGCTGCAGATTTGCATCATATCACCAAAATTTGATACTAGGAACTTCCAATATCAAAAAAACACCATAACAACAACAAAAAAAGGAGCAGCACAGCACATGCTCCAGAAGCATGCACCAGAGCAACTGAAGGCTGAGTCCTCCAGGTAGATAGATACTCTAGCTGCCAGTCAAAGCATCTCTCCTCCTTTAGGTACATCCTGGCTCCTTCAGCACATTGGGAGCTGGGAGAAGTGGGGAACAGGCAGTTTGCCTGAAATGGGACACCACAGTGCATGTGCAGGGGCATGCACAGCACCAAAAAATAGTGGTGCACATCTGAGGGCCAGCTATCTCATACTAACAGAGCTGAGGACTATTTCCCTGGGTATTGTATATTTTTTAACATACTGATTTGCTAAACCAAAACAGTCAGTGCACCAAGTGTTCCTGGAACTTACCTACTGTAAATATAAGCACTTCTGTATTGCAATTGAAGTTGCATTTGCAGTACAGCACACATGCCTATGACATACTATACCTGGCTTGGGTGTAATGATACCAAAGACACTGAAGTATGGACTTCAGCACAAGTTAACAACCCGAATACATACCCAGAGTTTCCAGCATACTATTAGAGCCTGCACAAGAAGCCCATGCCACTGTTCTTGTTACCTGAGTTCACTAGAGCCAAGGTGTTAGGGTATGCCTATATGTTCTGCAGTCAGCCCTTTGATTGCAACACAGACACACCCTAAGTGGCAATATACTAGCATAGAAATAACAACAAAAGAGTTAAACTGATTTCCTATTAATTTCAGAAAATTACCTGTTGATTTTTTTCCATACCAGTTACTCATTTTCTCAGACTAAAATGCTAAAACACAATAGGAAAACAGTCTCTTTTTTGTCCTCACTACTGCATTTTTGCAGAAAGATAAAAGACTGCAAATATCTTGAGCAAGCTTCTGTGCTGAGCCTGGGAACACAGCTCAGATGGATGTCTTGCCCACTTGCTTCTGCTCTGTGATGCCAAACCCTAGTAATGAGGCAATATTGCTGCTTAAGATCAGTCCCCAAGCCACTCTGAAGCTACATCAGATGTGCTTATTGACATGCAGTCAAGGGGTCTGAAGTGGTCACTGTCAAACATATGGCCCACAGAGCCAATCCACCTGGCCTACTGGTAGGCCAGGACTGCTACAAAATTTGGAGCACTGATGGACATGGGGCCCTCAGCAGCAGGGGGGTTGCCTTGTGGCCTCCTGTCCCACCACCAGATGAGGGCCCTACTGTAGTAAATGGGTGCCTGGCCTCCAGCCTCTTGTCCCGTTGCTGCCATGGAAGCCACCACTGTCATAGTAGCCACTTCCACCACCCCTGCCTTATGCTGGGTCCAGGCAACAAGGAAGCCCCAGAGACCTCCCCCAAGAATCTGGCCTCCTTTACCTCATATCTGGGATTTGGCACATGTAGAATAGGAGAGAGTTCAGTGGGCATGTCTGCACAATACAGCCATGCACATATAAACATGTACCCATACTGCGCAGTAATTTCAGTTATTGCTCAGTAAATGCGCACGTGTAGACACACCCAGTGTGTTTCACAACAGTGCTTCAATGCACAGCTGGCAGGCAGTGTTAACATACCTTAGGTATCTAACTATGGCATTTGATTACCACTCATATCAGTTCAATATAGAGGAATAGAAGAGGATTTCCTTTATCAAAGTGAGGGATGTATCAGAACCTATGTCCACAAACTCCTAGGTAAGTAAGGAAAAAAAAGCTTGAACAAAATTATAGTTTCCTCTGACCTCGTTCTCCTTTTTCTCCATTTGTGCCATCCTTCCCTGGGAACCCAGGAAGTCCTACTTCACCTAGTAGAAGCAAAACAGAGGGCAGATTTTTCAGTTAACAATGATACCACATTACAGGAGACTGAATCTTGCTCTGAGCCTTTCACTCCCAGCATGGCTGCCAATGGCACAGGTTCATAAGTCTTAAACACCTTACAGCTTATTTTGGCTGAGAAGCAAAACTCCAGAAAGGGCCTAATTCCTGATTTTAGATGGATGTTGCTGCTGAGATTGTAGTATCACTGAGAGAGAAAGGCCACATCGACAGAAAATGCTCGTTGCCCGATACAACTGAAGGGATCCTTTATGTTAGGAGATAGGAATTTAAATTTGTGGGAGATAATGCAGATTTGCCATGAACAAGATGAAAGCATCAGACCCTACTGCTGCCAGGGCTTTGTATTTTCCACTTACAGAAGAGCCCTGCAGTAACTGTGTGAGAAAGCCCAGTGCAAAAGGTAATTGTGTGGAAAGAAGAAGAGTTTACAGTGGGATGGAGGGGCCTCCTCTCCAGAGAAGAGGATTTCAGGAGCTTGTCCACAACAGTACACTGCCCTGTTATGCAGATTTTAGGAAAACACCGGGCGCATCTATACATGCAGCAGATCTGGGAGCAGTTTACTCTCTGATGGCTAGAAAGTGCTATTTAGAGATTTGCTTTTGGGAATTGGCCCTCCATCCCCGCTCACTCCCCAGGGGCCAAAGTTAACCGTAAGTTAAAAGTTTTTTGGTACTTTTTCTCTTATGGAGAATTTTTAAAATAATCTCCTGAATTATCTAGCAACTGGGGTAACAAGTGATGACAATTAGTCCTAGGAGTGATCAGTGGAAAAAAATCCTATCCAATATTAAAAGAAAATTGTTGATACTTGAACCAAGGTGACTATTCTCTCCTCCTTTTTTAGGAACTGGGACTAGAGAGCAATGATTTAACAGTATAATTTTAATTATAATGGGCTTTGTCCTGCTTCTGCTGAAGTTGGTAGCAAAATTACCATTATTCTAAAAGGGAACAAAGTTAACTGTAGTGTTTACAAATGGGAATGTATGTTTGGTATATAGAGCGTACAAGATGGAAAAATCACCAAAAATTCAGTTCAGGCAGTTATAGTAAAGTGGTCATCCATATAAAAAGGCAACACTTGCCAAATGAGACAACGCCATCATCACAATTATTTCTTATTTTAAAAATAAAAATTCATGTGGTGTTTTAGATACCACGTCTACATTTTTCATGACAGCTGCAGGAGTAGGTGAGAATTTTCTGGAGGAATCAGAGTAATTTAGCCCTTTATCTTCCATTTTTCAAGCCCCCTTTAATCCTCAAAGGTTCTGTTGTACAGGGCAAATAACAGTGATCTGCATTGTGAGAAGGTATGAAAAACTTTGTAGATTTTAGAAAACGCTTTTGTTTTCTGGCATATTTGAGACATTGAAAGCATGAAGGACAAGGTTGTTTGTTGGTGGAGCTGGAGCATTTTATAGACAGGAAGACCTGGTGCAATATATTAGTCATTCTCCAAATTGGCTCAAGTCTCCTAGAAATGTATTAAACCAGGTCAAAACTGATTCTGCAAAATACTTTTTCTCTTGATGTGTGTGCACTTTTCTGATGAAGGAGACTTGTTTGCTCTGGAGCTTGTTATTTAGTCAGCAGCCCAATCCAGTAGGCACTTTTGGAGATCCCAGGTGATGAAATCAGATGCCAACTCCTGGTTCAAGAACATGATTAAGCCCCTGTTTAAAGTTAATTAAAATTTAACTGATTGACTTCAATGGGATTTAACCACCTGCCTGTGTGCTTTCATGAACGGATATTTTCCCTGCAGAGGCCCTAAATCTTGGCATTTAAAGAACTGTGGAAAATATTATAGCTTAGCATCCGAGAGGCTGAGCAAACAGTTACCTCTGGATTCACTGCACAAGCTCAGACTCTTTTAAGTCTGAAAGGACACAGTGAACCTGGCTGTGATCTCATCAGGTTTTCACTAGTTTCACTATGTGCATTGGCATCAATGAAATACATCTTGATTTAACATAAGCTCAGAATCAAGCCCTGAAAATATGAAAGAAAAAGAAAAGAAACACCCTGTCATGCTGTACAAGAGATTTCAGCTGAAAGTTGGGGGAGGGGTCGCTCTGCTTTACTTTCTGGGACATAACAGTTGTTACTTATTAGTTGGGTTTTTTCCACAATCTGAAAATGTACATACAGTGGACTTCTGAATTTCCAAAAAGATAATATGCACTTACTAAACTCCTTTTTGCTGCCATTAACTTTTGTTCCTTGCATCTCCATATTAACTACTTTCATCATTAGTACTTTTTTGCATTTTCATGTACCAAAGCAGGGAGTTAAGAGTCTGAAATATGCTTTGAAGTACAATTTGAAAATCCAGTTGCTTTAATGTCATCTGTAAGGGTTAAAAGGTTCCTAACAAGATTTCCAACAAGCGGATACACTATTGCTCATTTCCAGCAATTAATAGGTAGCTTGATACTGTACCTGTGTCTCCTTTGTCTCCCTTTGATCCATCTCGCCCATCACGTCCAGGTACACCATTGTGTCCAGGGTTCCCAGGGATTCCAGGATGCCCTTGGGAACAGACGTCCTGTTTTCGTGTTTCCTGTGTGTTGACTACAATAGCCAGCAATATAATCCAGCGGTTCATTCTTTAAGAAGGTTAAATGGTTTCAGCTGAAAATGTCAAGACAGCAATATCTCTGTCTGCCTGTCTGAGTCTACCTGTTGTTTCTTGTCTTTCACTTAGATCAGTGAGTCTCAACCATAATGCCATGCCACCCATGCATCCTTTGAAGGGTGCCATAAGGTATAAGGAGATAAGAAAAAAAGCACAGATCAGCTTCTTTCCTGCCTGGCCCGTCTACAAGGAGGTAAACTCTATAATAAGTTAGTTTTTTAAATGGGTTGCCATTCTATTCACAAAAGTGATGGAGCAGTGGCTTGAGTTCGAAAAGGTTGAGCCACTGATTTAGGTTGTAAGGTGTTGGGAGATAGGGAAAACAATTTTGTGTATGTGGATATGTGCATGGTGTCCATATAGTACCAGAAACACTGCCTGGAATTTCTACCTACTACTGAAGAGCAAATAGTTATTTAATTAAAGGGTCACCCAACTAAAGTTTAGCTATATTTTAAATAAGTTTGGGAATATTGATTAATTTTCACTGTGATTCAGGAGTACTGGATTCTCTTTCAACATTTTCTGCAGAAATGCATTGCAATGTGATATGTTCTGATGAAATCAAGCAGCTTTGCAAACTGGGCCTTTAGAAATTTTGGACCTGATACTGAGAGATGCTGAGCAGCTGCAACTTTACAGGGAGTCACAAACACTAAGTCACATTTAGGACCAAGCCAACACATAAGAATTCAATATAGGGTTTTATATAGTTCCTCCCTAAACCAAAACCTGACCGAACTGGAGTCAAAAAATCAGCCTAGTATCTTAGTGAACTTGTGTTTGCAATAACATTCAAATACAATCCAACGCAGACACCTTTCAGTATCTATCACATCTTTCCAAAAGAAAAGCATTCATTTGTCTATCCTTCTCTTGATCGCTGGATCAGATAACTTTGTCCCAGGGAACAGAACACAATTAGAATTACAGAGATAAGAGACTAAGTCTATTCCTCTTTCTGTACTCCTTAACTATAAAGAAGGAACCATGTGAATGGCATATTAGGGATTGCTAGTATTTAGTATGTCAAGGTGGTAGAACAGTAGAAATGACATTGAATTGATACAAATTGATAGTAGAAGGAAAAAACCCTACTATTCTTTTATTGTACTCATATATCATGTTCTGTTCTCCATGGAAGGAGAATTTCAGCAGGAGTGGGCAGTCAGGCTGCTACTGGAATATTTCATATTGACTAGTAATTACCAGTACTTTGAACATCAGCTAGAATTCTTTGCTTCACTTCGATCAGATTAATGGTTCTACTAAAGTTCCTTATTACATGCTTGTTGAGGAAACCAAATATGATCATTATTCATTATACAGTCTCTGGACCACTGTGCTGGTGGTCCACAGAGAGCTGGCTGACTATGGGGTTCTAGCAGAGCCGACGAGCCAATGGAGGAGCTGACAGATACATCAAATATATTCCTTACTATTACTCTGCTATGTAAACACTTACTGTAGTCACCAAAACAAATGTTACATGTAAGAAAATGGGAGAGGAAGTAGTCTAGGGGGCTAGAAATAAAGGAGATGTCCACAAGATTAGTTCTCTGTTAAGACATGGTATTCACTATGGGATAAATTTGAGAGCCTCTGTCCACTTACTCTGTCCTAATCCTTGATGCCTTTGGTTAGAATAAATACCAGCGTTCTAGAGGAATGTTGGTTCCATAAAAAATTATGTATTCAATCCATACACATGCCCTCATTACCTTATACAAGCACACAGGATTTTTGCTCTTACCTAATTCATAGCTTCACTGTACAATGATGTTTCCAGGCATCTTTCACTTCAACGCGACTACTCTATGTGAAGAAATGTAGGGAGCAAGTGTGTGTTGTGAGGACAATCTGTTGTTTAGTTACTGAGTAGTCTTAAAGTTCAGTTATTTAATTTTCAGAGCTGTTCAATAATTAAAATAGAGGTTTAAACGAGAGGCCAATTGGCATAATTGGAATCTTTCTAGTATTTATTTAAATGCTAAACTCCAGTAAACTGTACTTTGGCTTTTTCCATGGTGACCCAGGTGAAGAGTATTCAAATTAATTGCACAGCATTCTAGGTATCCACTCAAGAGTTAATCTTTGATTTGTTGTTATTATTTATTGTTCGTATGACAACAGAATGTAGAGACCTCCATAAGTGCTCAGGCCACCATTGGGCTGTACAAACATACAGTAGAAATTGTCCCTGACCCAAGCAGTGTACAGGTATATAGGATTCAGACTTTAAGAGATGGGCATTTTAGGACATAAGAGGGTATAGGAGAGGGAGCCAAAAGAGTGGTACCTATAGAACACAGCATTACAGGTATAACATACATAATTATACTTATTATATGCAGTTTATACTGTATATTAAAATTCTGTGCAATTATTATATAACATACTACATAATACATACAATATGGTATATTGTAAATGTTATACTATACTACTATAATAGTATCTATTGTATACTGTATTGTATAATGTCATATACTATTTTGTATATGATTATACCAACGACATAATATAGTAGTAACATAATTTTGTTTGCTTTTATGTAAGTAAGCTAGATGAGCAATGCCTTTAACAACTAACTAATAGGGTACTCACCAAGCTATTCAAACGTGAATCAAGGCAATCATGCTACTAAGCCTATTTTTGGTAATTACTTAATATTTCTATCCTTTGTAACTCCTAAAATTGTTTGTTTCTAAGGCCAGATAAAGGTGAAGTGATGGAGACAGCAGCAGGCTTATAAATGCCAATTCTGAAAAGTGAAAGACAAAACATTTATATTACCAGGTTAATGTGCTATAGGAAATCTAGTCACTCCTCTTGGTGCAAGAGAACAGAAAATACTGTGCCTGAGGGTGATTCACACATTGCAAGGACAGACATCTATATTCTGTGAATCTGGTACCAGAGTGTCTCTTCTGTGATAGAAACAATTAAAATGAATAACCTGTTGAGCTCCAAGTGGTTAAACAAGTGTCACCAAATACTGTAGTGCCATCTTGTGGTAATAACAAATATTACGCTATCTTGCAGTCAAAACTGATTCTCAACTAGAGTTCTCTGTGTGCAACAGTAGCAAAAAATACACTTTTGCTTATAGCAATAAATACACTTTTGCTCTAAGTCTTTGACATAACACCACAGCAAATGTTTCACCTCAACAATGAATAATGGACAATACCTTCAAACTTTCCCAGACACTGTCTCCTCTGTTCTCTGCTTTCTACTCTTCATATGTAGTTTTGGAGCACAATTAATGACATCTAGGCACAGGACTGATTTTGCCATATAGCTCATGTTATTTATTTATTTTAGACCAACAACTAATAGTGTAACTTGGGCTGGGGTGTGGGAGTGAGCAGGGACCAACCCCAGGTGCCAACAGAGTGGGAGTGCCAGAATCACATCCACCACTCCCTTAGGGAGTCCAGATCCCAAAGAGCAACAGCTGTGCACCAGATGCTCAGCCACTGTGCTGCTGCTGTAGTAGCAATAGCTGGGGTGGGCAGACCATCCTGAGGCAGCAGCAGCTGGAAACCATTTTGGGGCTCCAGACCAGGTTAAGATGCCAGACCCCCTCCTCCAATGTGCACACAGAACTTGGCAGCACCTCCCCCAACTCTCTCCCCTCTCTTGATTTCCAGAAGAGTTTTCTCAGGGTACAAACCCTGATATTTATGTTTCTGTCAGCAGCCTAAAAGAAAGCTGTTTTACAGAACCATAAAAGTTTCTAGGGTTATACATCACTGGGACGTATAATAGTAAATTCAGATTAGCTTGTGTGACAAGAAGAGAGGTCAGCAAAGGAAGGGATCAATGCCACAGATTGCATCTGAAAAGTATTTTTTCACAGATGTATTTAAGTAAAAAAAGAGCCTTAGGAACTTGCACCTCCTTTCTTTCCTGCAGTTTAAAGAACTCTATTCCACAGGCCATCCCCACATGCCATTGGCATGTACATTGGCTTTTTTTGCTGTTATTTAACTTGATCTGAGGCCAGAGTTCAATGTGATTTTGGCAAGACTTGTTCAGAAGAGTTGGGAGCAAGGTTAGGCTCTAAAACCATTCCTGAGTCACAGCCTTCATTTTTCCAGTGGAAATGCATTAATTTGAATAACTTCAAGCATGTCACCAGTTACAATAAGTTATTAATTATTTCAAGTACGCTTGTTTCTTTGGGGTGGTGTGTGTGTATAACTTTTATCTTGTTCACAAGTTCTTTTGATTTGGGAAGGACTCAAAAGAAAGCTGGATTCCTCCCCCTATTAGAGGTGTTGGTAATAAATTATTTCATTGGCTGGAACATTTTTTTAAGAAAGAAAGGAAGGTAATAGACCTTGGGACTATTTCAGGTAACTGGCTAATATAGTGTGGCCACTGATCCATCCCCAGAATACAGGACACATCCCCTTGGTGAGGGGTGGAGGGAAACCATCAGCTCTATTGGCCAATCAGTGGTGAGTGGAGGGGCTCGACCAATCAGCAGCAAGGGGCAGGTTACCACAAAAAGCCACCTCTGTCCCTGACTGGCTGAGAACCTTGCTCCTCCTGGCTGTGCACAGCCAATAGAATCATGAGGACAAATGACTAACATGTATTTCCACCAATGAACTGAAAAAACAGAACATTTTGCAGTCCATTCCTCATTTAGAAATAGACAGGGGACAAAGGGTTTAAAAACAGGATGCTCTGGTATAAAAAAGGACCAATGGTCACACTAGGCTAATAGGTGCATAGATGCACCGTTTCTACTTTTCATTAGCATAAAGAGAGGTGCATGTTGGACATGGAATTTCAGAAACGAGAGAACATGTTTTCCAAGGCACAATGTGTTAAAGGTAAAAGAAAACATTATATCACTGGTTTTCACACATTTCTGACTCAAGTCAGTTTATTAGACTTGAGACAGCCATAGGAAAATGACAGATCTTAGCTTTCACTCATTTTTGACTGGTAAAGTAATACAGCAAACCTTTTATTGCAGAGACCTCAGAAAGGTTACAAGTCAGAATGTTTGTAACCAGATTCCTATTTGAAATCTCTTGTGTTTACGTGTCTAAATACTAAATATGTTGGTTCCTTCTCTGAAAAAGTAGCATACAAGTGTCCTAATTATTAACCACCTTACACAATACCCTTTAAAAATCAACTAGCACTCGAATATACTGACATTGATGTACGTGCACTAAGATCTCCATTTTACAAGTGCTAATCATCCTCTCTCTCATTAAAAAGAAACAGGAATGGAGAATGTTAAACATTTTACATAAGGCTCTGATTCAAGAAATTTGACAATCTAAGAGCAGGAATAAACACACTGCGCAGCTGAATTTCCAATTTACAAGATAAATTGATTGCACCTTGCAGCTCCTACACTTCCTCCAGCTAGTTCTCCAGCCTTCTAATGATAATTTATTTTACCTGTGTCTAGCAACAGCTCATTGCAGCTAGTATGCAGAAGTGGCAGTGCCAGAGAAAAACAGCATTATGTTATTCTACAGTCAGTCAAAATGGAAAAAACAAACCAATCTCAGACTTTGATAAAATCTACCTGTTGCGATGTCACACAGGATTGCTGCCAGTTTGGAAAGGCCTATGGAATTCTTATTTCCTGTGGCAGCCAGCTAGTGGAAAGTCAAGATTCAAACTGTGAGGGCAAGGAATTTGCCAGCACTTTGGGAGTACCCAAGCCCAGACAGTGCTTGATAAATTGAAAATTTCAGCCCAACACAGTGTTTCATTGAAGCTGAGATATATCACAGAGACATTTCAGCTTAAACACAAATATCATCAAAAAGTTTTTCTTGGTTCAGGAGCATGTGTCGCAGGGGGCAAGACCATGCATGTATGCATGAGAGAGAAAGGGCATGGACACACATAACACTTAGTACAATTTAAATGCAGTCAAACCTGAAGAGAAATATACAAGCCTCTTTAATCAACTTAGCTGTTCAAAAATATACATGGAAAACCAAGTACTATTTTGAACCACTTCACTGTGAACTGGCTGTGTTATGTGTGAACACCAAGTGTTTTGTGACACAGCGAGCACATCTACGCATGTGCTTTAATGCATAGTAGACCATTTTACTGCACATTAAAGAGTTACATAAAAAGTGACGTCACGCTAATGCAGTATAAAACAGTCTACTACGCATTGTCACTAAAAAAAGCATGCAAATAAGCTACTTTGCATTAGAACAGCCTAACACACATTAATTTAGTACCTCCCATTGGAGGTACTAAGTTTAATGTGCATTAGAAAAGCTGCATTAATGCACATCTAAATGCACCCAGTTAGTTCTCCTGGTGTAAGTGTTCAGCTAGGATGTAGGTAGCCAGGCCTGCAGATAGAACTCTAGAAGCAACTAGGGAATCATCAAGGTGAGAAAACATTAGGCCAAATTCTAATTCATGGGAATGGGAACACAAGGACCAAGTTCCAGGAAGACCAAGAGGGAAAATAAATCCAAGAGGCATAATCTGAGAAGTAAGCCAATATCAGAAACCAGGGGTCAGAGAGCTGGTGCTTAGTTCCAGGGGAGATCCAAGGTCCAAGTGAAAAGAAACCAAAGTCAGGAGCCAGGAGAAATCATAACCAACGTTGTCCCCATCTTTAAAAAAGGGAGGAGGAAGGACCCGGGCAACTATAGGC